GGATAGAACATTGGATTTCTACATGTTGTAACTCCTCCAAAGCATCATTATTATTATTATTCCAATAAATATTAGTTTTAAAAATTGTCCAAATTTATAATTTCTATTTAAAGTTTTTGTTTTCTGGGATAATGTTCTCTATGCCTGAGGAATTCTACAATATTTCTTTGATTTTTGATCTACTGTTTACTCTTTCTTTCTCTCTTTCTCCTTCTCTGTCTCTTAGAAGTATGCATAGAATTATAAATATTCTTAAATAAAAATATTTTGTATATATACATCTGTGTGTGTGTGTGTGTGTGCGTGTGTGTGTGTGTGTGTGTGTGTGTGTGTGTGTGTGTGTGTGTATGTGTGTCTGTGGGGGCAAGAGGCCAACATCAGGTATCTTCTTTGGTCACTTCCCACCTTATTTTTTTAGAGGGGTTCTCATTGAACTTAGGGATCATTGATGGACTAAATTGGTTGGACAAGTTCTATGGATCTCTGCTTATTCTGTTCATTTTTATTTTTTTCCAACATTTTGAAAATGAACCCACATTACTTTTTTCCCTGGCCTGTGAGGTTTCTACTGAGAAACTGCTAGTGGTTTAATTAGCACTTCTGTTGCTTTCATATTCTTTTGACAGTTTTATTGGTGGATATCTCTGGGTCAAACTTATTTGGGAACTATTGAGCTATGTGGATCTTGGTGTGTTCATGGATCTGAGATTTGAAAAGCTTGCCCATATTAATTACATATACAAGCATTCTGCCTGTTTTTTTTCTATTCTATTGTGGGCACTATGTAAACAGAATTTGTCACCTTATCAGTTCAATAGGATGTCTTTCTTTACTTTTATTCTTTCATCCCCCTTTGAGTAAACAATCCCAAAGACCTACCTCCAAGTTTGTATTCTTCCTTCTGCTCGGTTGCACTGGCTATTGCAGCACTGCTGCATTTTTCCTTCCTTTCATTCTAGCTGCCAAATCTAGGATTTATGTCTGCTTCACATTTTTAACTTTTTTGAATTTTTTGATATCTTATTTTCATGATTTAAATAAATTTTTCTTTTCTATCTTACCAGGATTCTTTAAATAATTATTTTAAATTCTACTTCAGGGAGTTTGTAGAACTTAAATGGTTTCCAGTTACTAGAATTTTTTCACTTTCTGTAACATGTTCCCTCACTTTTCCACATTTATTGAAACCCTGTATTGTTGCCTACATGGTTGATGGAGATGTCCTGTCTTTTAGATTTTATAATCTTGCTTTAGTGAGGAAAGATTTTCTTTTATGTGTGGGCACAGGGTACAATGCAACAAAAGAGGAGGCATCAGTGATGTAGTTACAGATGCAGCAGCTGAGTTGGCATCAGTGAAGTGGGGGAGGCTTGACAGGAGGCATTTGGAGCAGCAGTAATGCCTGTAAGAACTAATAAGTTGTAGGTATCTTTGGTTGCAAAGTATTTTAGACTCTTCCTTTTCATTTTTACTGAGAGGAAAACTTTCATGCAGAGAGGATTCCTATTGTCACTGGATCTAGTGCAGACCATGTGAGCACATGCTCTGATCATTTGCCAAGCTGGGGTCCTGTACTCTGTAACTTTCAGAACTACTGTGGCACCTGGATTGTGAGTCATGAGTAGTCTTGCTGAGGCATTATCAATATTATCAATATTGGTTATTCTCCATGAATGATTATTCAAATTAGGTTGTGTTCATTTAGTTCCCCAGCTTCACCCTTCATAAAACTTTTTATTGACATATAGCAATGATAGAAAATGGGATTAACAATAGAGTCAAAGTACTCTAAGTCACTGGATTCTAACTACCTGTGATGGCTACTTCTTGGTTATCAATTTGACTGTATTAACTACAATCCAAAATGGAGGGGACACTAGCACTCAGGAGGCAAAGGCAGGTAGATCTCTGTGAGTTTGATGCCAGCCTGGTCTACAGAGTGAGTTCCAGGACAGCCAAGGCTACACAGAGAAATCCTGTTTTGAAAATAAAAAAGTGTGGGATAATGGTGAAAGGAATATAAAACTAGATCAGGCTGAGTTATGGCCCTCTGAGTGGATATTCTAGTTTTAATATGGAAGTTCACACAGTTAAAAAAAGAAGGTGTCAAAAGTTTGTTTGAATGGTTGATGGAAGCATTTGTCTACTGAAAATTAATTGGAGATGCTTGTTATCCCTTGGCTGAATATTGATGAAGAAATTTTAAGGCTCAGGGAAATTTCAATGCTAAAGCAGGCACACTGTATAAAACCTAGTCCTCCACAATAGGAAGGCCCAGAAGACAGGCCCTTCACTAATCCTATAAGACACAAAATGGGGAGAGGGGCACCAACACATTTGAAGAGTTTTGTTGTTGCCCTTTTCCTTGTGCCAGACCTTAGCGTTGGAGATGCTGCTGCTATGTTGGATGAATTAAAAGCAGATGGTTTAATTGGACCCTAAGATAGCAGGGACCAGGTGGCATCACTGAATCACCAAAGGCAAAGTGACTGTAGTTTTTGTAATGCACAGCATAGATAAAACAAAGTTCATAATAGTCTAACCTATCTGTCTCTTCCACAAAATATCACAGGTAAAGAGAATTTTATGGTGGCATGAGTCACATGGACTTTGGTATATGATGTATCTAGGAATGAAATAGATAAGAAGCCTACTGAATTTTTGTTTGATCTGTATAAGCAGAAAGGAAATTTTCAAATGATTGAAAGTAAGGCTACATTGGATCATGGTGGCAAAAGAGAATCTCAGCCTGTGAGTCAATATCCAGACTTGGAGGTCAGATGGTTAATGGAGTTTTGACTGAATCTGACTCACAGCAAGGACAGTGGGTCCCTGAACTCATGGTGTGGTTATTTCCCCAGTGCCAGAATGTATAATTGGGATAGATATATTGAGAAGTTGGAAGAATTCTCACATTGGTTCCCTGATCAGTGAAGTGAAGGTTATTATGTTTGGAAAGGCTAAATGGAAGACTTCAGAGTTGCCTCTGTCAAAGAAAATAGTGAATGAAAAACAATATCACATCCCTGAAGGAACTGCCACCATCAAGGACTTGAAAGATACAGGAGTGGTGATTCCCACCACAGGATCCCTTTAACTTTCTTGTCTGGCCAGTGCAGAAGATAGCTGGATCATGGAGAATGACAGTTGACTATTGAAAACTCAATCAGACAGTGACTCTGATTGCAGCTGCTGTACCAGATGTGGTGTCCTTACTTGAGCAAATTAACACATCTCATGGTACCTGGTATTTAGCTATTGATATAGCAAATGTCTTTTTCTCAGAACCTGTCCATAATGACTACTAGAAGCAATTTGCTTTCAGCTGGCAAGGCTAGCAGTATACCTTTACAGTATAGTTTTACCTCAAGGATATATCAAATCTCTAGCCCTGTGTCATAACTTAGTTAGAAGGGATCTCAACTATCTGTCTTTTTCACAAAATATCATATTGGTATACTATGTTGATGTCATTGCACTAATTGGATTATGTAACCTTGAGGTAAGCAGGTGTTGTACTCTGTCTTAGGGTTATTATTGCTATTATGAAATATCATGACCAAAAGATAGTTGGAGAAGAAAGGATTTATTTCACTCACATTTTTGTGTCAAAGGCAGAGAGGGCAGGAACTCAAGCAGGGCAGGAACCTAGATACAAGAGCTGATGCAGAGGCCATGGAGGGGTGCTCCTTACTGGCTTGCTTAGCTGATTTTCTTATAGAATCTAGGTCTACCAGCCTAGTGTTGGCTCCACCCACAATGAGATGGGCTTTCTCTATGAATCACTATTTAAGAAATTGCCTCACAGGCTGATCCATGGCATAATTGTTGGAGATATTTTCTCAATTGAGGAACCCTTCTCTTTGATGATTGTAGCCTGTGTTAAGATGACATAAAACTTGTTGATAACCCTTATGCACATTAAAAGGATGTGAAATAAATCTAACCAAAGTTTCAGGACTTTCTAAATCAGTGTGGTAGTTTGAATGTAATTGGCCCCAACAGGCTCATAGGGAGCGGCACTATTAGGATATGTAGCCTTGTTGAAGTAGGTGTGGACTTTTTGGAGGAAGTGTGTCACTATAGGGGTAGGCTTTAAGTTCTCCTGTGCTCAAGCTACATCTAGTTCAGTTCAATTCCTGTTGCCTGTGGATCAAGATGTGGAACTGTCAGCACCTTCTCCAGCACCATGTCTGCTTTTGCATGCCACCTTGTTTCCTGACATCTTGATAATGGACTAAACTTCTGAAGCTGTAAGCCACCCAAATTAAATGCTTTGCTTTATAAAAGTTGCTGTGGTCATGATGCTCCTTCACAGCAATTGAAACCCTAAGTCAATCAGTGAAATTCTTAGGAGTCCAGTGGTGTGGGGCATGCAGAGATATTCCTTCTAAGGTGAAGTGTAAGTTATTGAGCCTGGTCCCTCCTACAACCAAGAAAGAAGCACAAAATTTAGTGGGCCTTATTTGGATTCTGGAGTTAGCCCATTCCTCACTTTGATACATTACTGTGTCCCATATACTAAGTGATTAATAAGCTGCTAGCTTTGTGTGAGGCCTGGAACAGAAAAAGGCTCTTCAACAACTCCAGGATATTCTACCACTTGGACCATATGATCCAGCTTATCCAATGGTACCTGAGGTGTCACTAGCAGATAGGGCTGCTGTTTGGAGCCTTTGGCAGACCCCTATAGGTGAATCGTAGGAGAGACCTTTGGGATTTGGGAGCAAGCTTCTACCATCATATGCAGACAACTATTCTCCCTTTGAAAGACAGCTCTTGGCTTGCTATTACCCTTAGTGGAAACTGAATGTTTGACAATGGGCCACCAAGTTACTATGCAACCTGAGCTGCAGACTATGAGTTGGGTGTGATCTGACCCAAGTCATACAGTAGGACAATCATAGCAGTGATCTATTATCCAATGGAAATGGTATATACAAGATCAGGCCTGAGCAAGTAATGAAGGCCTTTGTAAGTTACATGAAGAGGTTACCCACATGCTTCTGGTTTCTACTACCATTGCTGTGCTGTCTGCTGCCAAGTATGCACCTATAGCCTCATGGAGGATTCTCTATGATTTATTGACTGAGGAGAAGAAGACTAGAGCCTGGTTTGCTGATGTTTCTATATACTACACAGGTACCATCTAGAATTGGATGGTTGCAGCATTATAATCCTTTTCTGGGACAACCCTGAAAGACACTGGTGAAGGAAAATCTTCACAGTGGGCAGAACTTCTGGCAGTACACATGCTCAAACATTTTGTTTGGAAGGAGAAATGGCAAGATATGTGATTTTTTCACTGATTTATAGGCTGTAGACAATGGATTGACTGGATGCTCAGGGGTTTGGGAAGAGTATGATTGGAAAATTGATGAGAAGGACTTCTGGGGAAGAGATGTGTAGATAGATCTCTCTTGGGTGAAGGATGTGAAGATATTTTTGTCCTATGTAAATTCCATCAAAAAAAGACTTTAGCTGAGGAAGAGTTCGATCACCAGTGGATAGGATGAGCTGTTCTGTGGACAGTCAGTCTCTTTCCTTAGAAATTCCTCTGATTGTCTAATAAGCTCATGAACAAAGTGGCCATAGTGGCAGAGATGGTAGTTATGTATGGGCTTAACAACATGGACTTTCACTTATCAAGGCTGACCTGGCTATAGCTGCTGCTGAGTGCTAAATCTGCCAACAGAAAAGACCAATGCTGAGCCCCAGATCTGGTACCTTTCCTTAGGGTGACCAGCCAGTGATCTGGTGGCAGGTTGACTATATTGAACACTTTCTCCATGGAAAAGACAATGCTTTATCCTTTCCTTACTGGAGTAAATACTTATTCTGTTTATAGAGCTGCCTTTCTGTATATAATACTTCTGCCAAAACCACCAGCCATGGACTTATAGAATGCCTTATCCACCATCATGATATTACACACAGTATTGCTTCTGACCAAAGACCTTACTTCACAGACAGAGAATTACAACAGTGGGCCCACAATCATGGAATCTGCTGATCTTACTATGTTCCCCACTGTCTTGGAGCAGCTGGCCTGATAGAAAGATGGAATGGCCTTTTGAAGACATAGTCACAGCACAAATTATGTGGCAGCAACCTGCAAGGCTGAGGCAGGATTCTCCAGAATGCACTATAATCTTTTAATCAGCATCCAATATATGGTACAGTTTCTCCCACAGCCAGAACCCACAGGTCCAGGAATCAAGGGCAGAAAAGGGAAGAGTTCCATTCACTATCACCCCTAATAAGCCACTAGGAAAATTTTTGCTTCCTGTTCCCACAACTTCAAATTCTGCTGGCCTAGATGTTTGGTTCCAGAGTGAGGAGTGCTCCTTCCAGGAGACACAACAAACATCCCAATGAACTGGGAGCTCAAGTTCCCCTCGGAAATTTTAGGCTTCTAATGCCCCTAATCCAACAGGCTAAGAAAGTAATAATAGTGTTAGGAAGGGTGATTGATCCAGTTTACCATGGGTAAAATCGGACTGCTTCTCCACAATGAAGGTAAAAAGGATTATATCTGGAGTGCAGGAGATCCCTTAGCTGTTTTTTGGTACTACCATGTCCTGTGATTAAAATCAGTGGGAAACTACAACAGCCTAAAAATCCAGGCAGGATGACAAAGGGCACATACCTGTCAGGACTGAAGGTACGGGTTACTTCTGTAGGAAAAGAGCCAAGACTTGCTGAGGTTGTTGCCAAGGGTGTAGGAAATACATAATGGTTAGCAGAGGAAGGTAGTTATAAATACCAGCTAATATTACATGACCAGTTACAGAAGAGGATTATAGTTGACTTTATAAGATGGTGTTTCTGTTGTGTTTTTTTTAAAAAACGCATCTGTACAGATATTTGTGTTTTCTTTCAATTTCTTCATCATGTGATATAACATCAATGGATAAACAAAATGTGGTACATATACACAATGGAATACTACTCAGCAGAGAAAAACAATGGCATCATGAGGTTTGCAGACAAATGGATGGATCTAGAAAAAATCATCCTGAGTGAGGTAACCCAGACTCAGAAAGACAAACATGGTATGTACTCACTCATAGCAGGATACTAGACATGAAACAAGGATGACTTGTCTGCTACTCACATCACCAGGGAGGCTACCTGGAAAACAGGACCCCAAGAAAGACACAGGGATCACCCAATGACAGAGAAATGGAATGAAATCTACATGAACAGCCTGGACATGAGTGGGGGTAATGAAAGGCGAGGGTTGAGGGAAAGAGAGCTTGGGGGAGCGGGAGATCCCAGCTGGATCAACAACAGAGAGGGAGAACAAGGAATAGGAGACCATGGTAAATAAAGACCACATGAGAATAGGAAGAAGCAAAGTGCTAGAGAGGCCCACAGAAATCCACAAAGATACCCACACAACAGACTGCTGGCAGTGGTCGAGAGACAGCCCGAACTGACCTACTCTGGTGATGGGATGGCCAAACACCCTAATTGTTGTGCTAGAAACCTCATCCAACTACTGAGGGATCTGGATGCAGAAATCCATGACTAGGCCCCGGGTGGATCTCTGGGAGTCCAATTAGCGAGAATGAGGAGGGTTTATATGAGCGAGAATTGTTGAGACCAAGGTTGGATAAAGCACAGGGACAAATAGCCAAATGAATGGAAACACATGAACTATGAACCAATGGCTGAGGGGTCCCCACTGGATCAGGCCCTCTGAATGGATGAGACAGTTGATTGGCTTGATCTGTTTGGGAGGCACCCAGGCAGTGGGACCAGATCTTGTGCTCATTGCATGAGTTGGCTGTTTGAAACCTGGGGCCTATGCAGGATTGTTTGGCTCGGCCTGGGAGGAGGGGACTAGACCTACCTGGACTAAGTCTACCAGGTTGACCTCAGTCTGTGGGGAAGGCTTTGCCCTGGAGGAGATGGGAATGGGGGGGGGGGGGGGGGGTTGGGGGGAAGGTGAGGGGGACGGGAGGGGGGAGAACAAGGGAATCCGTGGCTGATATGTAGAACTGAATTGTATTGCAAAATAAATTAATAAAAAAAAAAAGAAAAAAAAATCAATGATTATCACATTGAAGTTTAAGACATTAAAAGAATATCCCACAAGAGACATTGTCACCCATTTTAAATTTACAATGTGTTTGTGATGGTAAAAGGAATAATTATATCATATTAGGCATAATTACAACCAGGCAAAATATATAATGTGTTTGCAACTGTCTGTGGGATAGTTATATTATGTTTAGACATTATGATGGCCTGGTTATTGTTTTCATTTGGAAATTAATAATAACATAAGAAGCTATGATTGTGTGTCAAGTTGAAAGTGGGTGGATTTGTGATGGCTATTTCTTGGTTGTCAACTTGGCTACATCTGGAATCAATTAACTAAAATCCAAATTAGTAAAATTCAAAATCAGGGGCATACCAGTGAGGGATTTTTATTAAGTTGAAATAGGAAGACCCACTTCTAATCCTGATCTTGAGGTGAGAAGACACACCTTTAAGCTGGAGTTTCAGGCAGGAAGATATAACATTAACCTGGTTTACACCTTCTGCTGGTAGAACATACAGGACATGGAAGAAACAAGGTTTTACTCTTTCCCTGCTTACTCTTGTCTTGCTAGCAAGTCATTCCTTCACTGGCATAAGAGCTTACTTATTTGCAATTCCAATGTCTACTAAAGACTAGCTGAGACATCCAGTTTTGTGGACTGAGCAACTTCAGGTTTCTTGGACTTTCTGTTCATAGCAAGCTATTGTTGGATTAGCTGGAACACAGTCTGTAAGTTATTCTAATAAATCCCCTTTTTATATTTATATATACAGAGATTCATTCTGTAAGTTCTGTTACTCTAGATGCTAGAACAGTGGTTTTCAACCTTCCTAATTCTGTGACCTTTTAATACAGTTCCTCATGTTGTGGACTGTCCAACCATAAAATTATTTTTGTTGCTACTTCATAACTGTAATTTTGATAGTGTTATGAATTGTAATGTATATATCTGTGTTCTCTGATGGTCTTAGGAAACCCCAGTGAACAGGTCATTCAACCTCCAAAAAGCTCTTGGCCTTGACAGGTTGAGGACTATTGCTCTAAAGTCTAGGGAATCCTGACTCATACAATGCCTATATATATTTTTTGCAAGGTTTTCTGAAGTATAAAACATCACATGCAAGTACCAGGGAAATCAGTGTTCTGACCTCACTAGAAACTTGGAGCTCCATGAATGTATTCCTTCCAAAATTCAGGAGAACTACTTGCTTCACTCACACAAATGAAACTTAACTTTTGATAACAAAAGATTAATTCAGCAGGCCCTCGAAATAAGAATCTGTAGAAGGCTGTTTCTGGTGTTCTATTTGTATTTTTTCTATTATGGGCAGATAAGAGAGAACAAAGAGTGTCCTTTTCTCCAATTCCTTTGTGTCTTAGTTTATAGTCACAGCTATTAAGGAAAAAATAACTGTGGCAAGAAGTATTTTTTGCTTAGTGGCACTAGGAAAGGTAGGATCAAGGACTATGAAAGAAATACACCCAAAGGCCTCTGTGGAGAACTATATGTGTTCTGCTTATAGATGCTGTCAGCTGATAACCTTCTGCTTTAAGAATCCTGTTCCTCTTTTTGTGCTCTTAGTTTCTATAGCTTAATATTTGGGAAGGTTGAGAAGAGGATCATCATAAAGGGAACAATGTTGTCAGATAATCAAATCCATAGCTAGTTCAGAAGATGGAAGAAAAAGATTTTTATTTCCTCTCTACTTTTCTTTCTATATGGATGCCATATCATATCCATGGCAAAGATTCTATTGTTTTCTGACTTATTCCTGTCTGTTTACCTCCCCTGCCAGTCTGTCTCTGTTCTAATCTCTTTCAACACTTTCATTTGGGTTCCCTACCTATTTTTCACAGAGCTGGCAAGGTGTTAGGGGCTTTAAGCCTCACATACTTTGTGGTGCCATATTTACAACATAAACACACTACTGTCCATGATACCACAGTCACGTCTTTAAGAATAATGCCAATGTGTTATTATCATGTGGTCTCTTTTCCTACTGTGTCAAATATTTAGTTCTATTGCTTTAGTTTAACATCGGCAGTGCTCAGGGAGGGAGACATCAGCTCTTCTCCCTGACCACCATGA